TTTAAAACATGCTGTAAATCTGACATGAGCTTCAGACGAACTGCCATCTAAGGTAGTTTGTTTTAGACCATACTTATTGGAGAGAATATATTTCCTTTTAAAGCATATTTAATTATTGCAGAGATTATGAAAGTGCCCTTTAAGGGCAGATGGAATCCAGTGTAGAAGACTGTTGGTTATTGAGCAGGAAGAAGGCGCTAGTGACTCAGTGTTAGCAGGGGATGAGTGCTCATTATCTGAAGCCCACCTAATCTGCAATGAGAAGATTTATAGATCGTTTATGTAACCTTCCATGTGCAGCTACTGAAGGTTAGCACATTCTGCTAATAATACTGGAATCATGCATCCTAACAATTTAATGTTTGCTGTGATTATCAAAATGGCATTTCTAACTTCCACAGCTCTAACATGACCCAGAGGAAGATGTTATTGCTGTTTTAAAGCTCAGCAGACATAATACTGTTCGCAGCTTTCATTAAACATCGATTTGTCAGATGATTACCCTAAAATGTCTGCGAAGGAATAAAAATAGACAAATAGTACATTTGAGAGAAGCAGGAGACTTAATGGAGTGCTGCAGTGCTAACATATTTAGCATGGCCAACCCTGAAGTTAGCATTACCCTGGTTCCCTCAACAAAAGTGTGTTTAACACAATGAGGCTGTTAAAGCTGACAAGTGAGTAGTTTACATGTTCGACATGATGACGTTTAATGCTTCCGACAACTTCTGTAGTCCTATTTATTTAGCCACTTGTCAGCAGCTGACTTTTATCCATGTAAAAGCTTTTAAAAAGTCACAAGGGGGTATTACTGATGTATTTTATGTTGTAGAATTAAACGTGAAAATATCTTAAGCTTATATAATTTGTTTGTCCTCAGAGAGGAAATTCACAGCAATTTCACAGAAGGTGCGTATACAACACAAGGACAAGTACCCATTATGTACAAACTTGTCACAATACATTCACGACCAAAAAAAAAAATGCAAGAGTGTATAACGATGGCTAATTTCCTATGTGTTTAAAGCACGTATTGCTGTAGGAACAAAACTCTTACTAAAGTTAGTCCTCCTACACGGTCCTCTGGTTATGTTAACCAGAGACCTTATTTCAGGCATTTAAAGAATGAGCATGTTTTATAGTCAAGGTAAGGTAAAACATGTTATTTTTTTCCAAAGTTACGAGAACAGGATTAGTGTTAAGGAGAAAATCAGTTTGTAGGGGAGGAAGTTCCTGCATGCCAACTTGAGGAAGGCCTATTGTGAAACAAAGGTGATAAAAACTTGCTGAACTTGAGGAGAAACAGCAAGCAAATCTAAATTCCAGAGCTTTTGTTTCCAGCATCTACCTATGCCCATCATTTACTAATGACTTTAGTAATGCATGACTGGTTAAGGCTAGAGGATAGTAGTCTATCCTGAGGAGCCAGGGCAGGACGGCAATGGGTGCCAGAAGTGCATTTTTGTCACAAGATTAAATGGATTTTATGGGGAGTGTCAGCACTTACAATGTAAAATATTCATAGCACGTCTTCCATAGGAAACTGTAGGTGGAGGTGGAATGCGCCATGACAGAAAGCAACAGTCTTTCTCTTTCTGTCCCCCCATCCCGTCTCATCTGCCCCCTCCACAATCAGGTTTGTGCAGTTTGTGCAGGGCATACGACAGGCTCGGAGAATGTCTGCTTTGATTGCCTGATAGTGTGATAGTAGTGTATTGTGTTTAGGCTGACGTAAAGCCATTTAAATGACCACCACCGATAAAATCATGAAGATTGCTGACCGAATGATTTAGTCATGCTGTACAACTGTCCCCCTTATCTGCATATCATGAGCATACAGCAACACACACTGTACGTTCTGCTAAGTTGCAATGAAAGTATGAATCATCATTACTCTTTATACTGTTCATACACATGGCAACCTTTCGAGCGATGTTGCCAGGCAACATTACTGAATGTTTGCAGTAAGACACAGGACGTCTGTGCACTACTGAGTCTGCTATTGTTGTTGCCCAATGCACAATCCCATCTTGTGCTCTTCTGTAAAGTGTATATTTGCATTGTATAGCAATGCAGCGATATTAAAATTATGGCCAATATCAATAATTGTAGAATTTTTATAATAATTATGGATGATAATAGATACATAGATAATATTAAAATCTTAATTATTTTGTCAAGAAATAAATAAATGTATTAATTTAGGCATTACAAGATTACAGTGTACAGTATGAAATATATATATTCATTCTAAGATTTGCTAAAATTAACATATAACAATGTTACTACATTATATGTGTCTTAAAGGATTAAAGATCTTTAAGTGAGTGTTAGATGACGGCAACAATAAAATATCCAATATCAACCAATATATCCAATACAAAGAATATTAAATTAAAAATGAAAATACTGTTCAATAATTTGGGGTCAGTACAAACTGATCAAAAGCAACAGTAAAGACTTTTATATTGTTTATTCCAAATAAAACAAACTTTTTATTTATCATAACATTTTATCATAAAATATAAAAAAAATAGAAAGCAATTATTTTAAATTGTTATATTTCACAATATTACTTTCAATAAACTAATAAATAAATGCAGTCTTGGTGAGCATAAGAGACTTCTTTCAAAAGCATTTAAAAATATCGTTCAATTAAATGAAAATGTATTAAAATATATATGTTTTATATAAAATACAACAATATTGGCCAATCAGCAATACGGATACATCATACATCTCTAGCATTGTATCTCAACATGAATATACAATTAGACTGTACATCATCAAACATTTCTCTCAACACTGCTAAAATATTTCTAAGGATTCTTATTACTTTTGTTGTTGACGTTGAATGATGACAAGATACTCTCCAAAACCTGTTGTAAAAATAATAAAATGTCAAAAAAAACTTTGTTCTGCTCTGTTTTGGCTGCTTAGCCACTGCTCAGCGTACTAGTCGTAGTAAACAAAGGCAAGCATGCATGCACTTGCACATGCTCACAGATCAGTCTTAAACCCTTAAGACATTAAGTATTGCTTTGCAACTGCTAGTTAATGATACAGACTCCATCCTAGCAAAACCAACACCTTTGCAGTGTGCAAAACAACAACAGCTGATGGTGGTCACTGTCATTTTTCCACCACAAAAACACTGTCTGTCCCTCATAATCCCCCTTGTATTTTTGGCCCCACCCTGCCACGTGTTCTCTTCAATCTTGTACATAAAGAGCAGCTATTTTTGCTGTATTGATGTTTAGTCACCTGCAGCTGATTACAAGAGTAAATGCATGCCAAAACAAAGCAAAGAACCATGTCCCCATAGTTGACCTCAAGCACACTTTTGTGTCCTGTGGTTGTCAATGTCTGCACACACACACTCCACTTATGTAACATCCCGTTTCATGTACCACCCTGAGCTCTGTTGTCCTCCCCTGAAAAGAGCAGCTGAGCTGAGAGGTGTTTTGGCCCTACCCAGCACTTTCCTTTAATGTGTATTTGACACATGCTCGGACTCCACTCCCTCCATACTCACATGTCAGGGCAGAATACTATGAGAACACTGCAAACTCACTCACATGCTGCTCCAGGTTGTTTAACATCTACCGGCTGCTGGTTGGCTGAGTCACTCAGGTTTTTTTAGGCACTCAAGACTCCAAGTTCCAATTTCACTTTTGCACTGTTTTTTCTCATTTGTGTCTTTAAAAAAAATAAATAAATAAAATATATATATATATATATATGTGTGTGTGTGTGTGTGTGTGTGTGCAGTAGTGTAAATATGACCTAAGAAATCTAGTGCACAAAAACAGAGATCTGCAGACTTGTTATATAGATGGCTGTCATTAGGAACATTTGTGCAAGCCAAAAGTATTATGCAAGATCTTGTCTATTCCAAAAGGTACATAGCATGAATAACATTAAAAAACATTGCAAAACATGTGCCCTTCAAGCTAAAGTACGCAGGTTGTGTTGTTGTTGTTGCTTTTTATGTTAAGATTAAAGATAAACCAATAATAGGTTTAACCAATATCTTTCACAGATACTTCAATATCTGTTCACAACATTGCCATCTAAACAGAGTATCAACAAAAAGCATAAATATATAAGCTTACAATGTCACAGAATTAGTTGGCATAATTTCTGTCAGGACCACTATCGTCAAAGATGATTGACAATTAGCATACAGTTTGGATTGGCAATATGGTTCTGTTCTGGGCAAGAACTCCCTTCGCATGCATGCAGCCTAGTATGGATGAGAGCAGGGAGAGCAGCGATAACCAAATAATAAATTGGTGGGTCAGATGTTTGTGTGACATTTCCACTTGCTTACAACAAATCAGTAAACATGTATAATAAACAGATCGGCATCAATGCAGAGTAACATTTTGTCTTTATTTTATTTCATCTACTCATCTACAATTTCCAACAGCAATATCCACAAAATATTAACAGTGTGCAAGAAAACATGATTTATGGCACATCCGAGAAGAAGAATTACAAAAAATAGATATATTTCTTCATAATCAAGGCAGAAAGATACATATGCATACACAGGAAAAAAACACAAAGTAATGGGACAGGCTGAGATTGAAATCTACTGGCTAAGGACTCAGCTACAGATATTACCCACACAAAGCCTAAATCTCACCTCTCATGGTCATGAAAGAGCTCGATGGTGTGTGAAGTCGAACAACGTTTGGGAACGAGGAATTGAGGTTAAGGTATCACGGCCTCCTCAGCACCTTAAATGTTCTCGCTGCACGCAACGCAGATTAGAAACGGACAAGCTCCCTCGTCCTAACAGCAGGTCTCCCAACGTAGAAAGCCGCGAAATGCTTGCGGAGTCTTATTAAACCCAAGTGTGGGGGAGTTTTTTAGCATACTTCAGGTAAACGCTATACTTTGGAGCACACAGTGTATCCCAGCACTGTGAGTCAAGTGGGTGGAGAACTCAAGCTAACGAGCTAACTTAGCTTAGCTGACTTTCACAGTGTTCGCTCCAGTGTAACACCATCAAACGTGGTACAGCAAGTTTGGCTGGTGGCTGGTCAAAAAACTTTTGCAGTGCTAGATTTATTTTAGCACTAGCTTGGCACATTTGAGCACTTCGCACGTGTCCAGAAAGGCTTCATCCTAATGTGGACTACTAAGTGACTCTTCTTTTGCAATAACATCGTCAGTGATGGAAAAATCTAAAAGTATCTATTGTAACACTTGAATTGATTCAATTATAATCCTTCATCTTTATATAATATGGTTCTTTATCTCCTTAAGTGTCTGTTTTTCTCTAGTTACTTTGAAATGCATTAAGCCACTATACTGCTCTGCTCAGGCTTAACAGGAAGTGATGTCGCTGAAGCAGCCCTGTCCACTGATGGGCAGCAGCGTGATTCTGTTGCTCACTAGATGAGTCACAGCACTCGTGACCTCCACACGCCTTAGTCATTCTTAATACAGGAGCTGATGACAGTATCCCGTTGGCCGCGAGGAGCACAGGCCCCCTCTGTCCCACTACGAGCCCCTATTTCCTGCACTGTGTTGTTATTTTCCAGCATTTGAAGCGGGGCAATGGGGGAATTCTGTTTTTAGCACTTAGCTGAATACTGCGAGTGACTGTTTGAGTGACCTTTGAAAACCGTCACTCCAAAAGATTGTGCATCATGTGGTGGGTGCACATTAGACATTCAGAGTTGTGGGTTGACCTTGCCCCTCATCTTTTGCATGTGACTGCTCAGGCTGAGCCAAACCCGATGGCCTGTTGCACATCCTGCCCTTAGATAGACTTAACAACACAGACCACCTCATGAAACGTGCCTCGAACAACACCTTTACGCACCTTGCGTGGGCATTGTGTCAACAATCCATTCCACATTCCCTATTCACTATCACATGTACAAGCACTGGAGCCATCCATCAATTCCTTCGCTCGCATCTTTTGCCTCGTCTTAAAGAGGACAAACTGAATGGTTAAATATAAATGATGGAAGAAACGGAAATGTTACACAAAGATTACAAAAAGATAAAACATCCACAAAAAAAATTAATGCGCTTTAGTTATCAAACACTGTACAGTATCATACTCAATGACCAGAATCCATGTTTCCATAGAAAGAAGAAATTGGAACAAACAAATCCAAACAGCTATTCTCAAAGTTAACACCTCTGAACATATCCAAAAGAAAGTTTATACATGTTTTTTCCTTCTGTATGGATTTTACAATCAAGTTTGGCTTTAGAGAAAAAAAAAAAAAATTGTCCTTATCAAGGGCTTCGAATTCAAAATGACTCAATTTTACGAGGCATGTCTAAGCCTCTGCTTTTAGGATCATAAATATTCATTATGATTTGATATATTTGATACCAAATACCACAAATGTTGTTTATTCATTTAAAATTAATCTCTCAGATAACAGGGCTAAATTTTTATACTGAACTGCACTTTCGGAGAGGACTGGGAAGGATATTATTAGGTAAATATATTTTCTGCATTATATAAAATTATTCCTTTATAACTTAGTGTTTGAGGATTCTGAAATATAGTATAAACAATAGGGGGGAAAAAACAAAGCATTAAGCCTAATGAGTTTTTAATGATGAAAAGAAAGAAAAAAACAGCTCACAAACGGACTGAGAAAAAAAAAGTAAAAATATTGGCAACTCTGGTTAATGTCTTGAATCCCTTTGTAAAACATGAAATGTGCTGTTTTGATAAAGGTAAGCATACCTGGATTCAATTTTGGCCATACAAATCTAGAATGAACCTTTAGCTTGCAGATTCGAAGTAACAATGCAGGGTTAATACTGATCAAGCGTTTACCACAGTGTGACTGGGCTAGCCAGCTAGTCAGTCAGCATAATCATGACTGTCTTCCTCTACTCTCCACCATCACCTATGGTAACAAGGTCAGCCGCTGCACTGAAAAACATGCTGGAGTATCTCTCAGTCTCTGTGTAATCTTTTGAAATAGTTTACAAATTTGAAATCTGCCACCTCCTGTTAAGTACATCTATATGCATGAATTTAGACAGGCGTGCTGTGCAGATTTATTCATATAGATTCACTCAAAGCCGGGCTACATGACGCTAGCTGTTCAGATATTGCCCCTTTTTATATTTACCGAGAGAGTGTGGCATTTATTTTCTGGAGAATACTGTGGATCCCAGGTAAAAAGAAGTGTTGGACTGAATTGCCCATTGACTGGGGATGGGCAGCGGTTAAAGAGGGATTGGGATAGCTGGCCTAGACAAAGTAGCTATAGAATGATGCAAGGCTTCTTGTCTTTGAAAGGATTCTCTGAGGTGGGAACCCCCACCAGAAGAGGGTCACTGCGGGCATGCTGCTCACAGTAACTCATGAGGTCTGCAGCAGCCTTAGACACCTGGGGAAAAGACAGAGAGAGAGAGAGAGAGGAAGAGGGAGAAATGGTGATACAGAGTGAAAATCTGTTAATTGGTTACCATACACAGTGAAAAATTGTGAATGGTTTAACATTTCATTATATGTAATTTTACTGTAAAACACATTCAAAAAAACAAAAATTTGACAGTACCACAATAATATTTACAGTGAAAACAGTAAAAGGACATTAATATTTTAAACAAATGTATTTCTTATTGAAGTAATGTACATCAGAGCATTTTGTGTTACATTTTCTGTTATTTAGTTCATGTTTATTGCATTATTTTAGTGTCATGCGCATTACCCTGATGAATCGTGTATGACCCTGTGAATTGTCTATATATGACGGCACTTAAGATGAACTCTGATTCATCATATGGCTTTCTATTGTGCCACCTTTATTATAATGGTGGTTCATTTTTTAAGGTAAAAAGTAGATTTTAGTAGTTCAAGTTTATGGTCATAGTAACGTTATATTACTTAATGAACTTCACGGATGTAAGGTGTAAAACAAACAGGTACCTTGTAATACAGTCACAGTAAATTTAACAGGATTATTCAAACAGTTTTTCTCATTCAACCACCAAGCCACCAATGTAACAATCATTATTTAAAGGGGTCATATGATGCTGCTAAAAAGAACATTATTTTGTGTATTTGGTGTATTTCCACATAGTGATGTAGATATGTGGGGGCGTGTTAGAACGAGCCGTTTTAGGTAGGCGTGGCTGACTCTTAACTTTTATAAAGAATATCTCTTTGGATTTGAGACTTTAGTCTTTGCAACTTTACAGATCTTCTTTATGCACCAAGAGCTTGTAACACTCCAAAGAGAAAGGAAAAATTTAAATCGCATCATATGACCCCTTTAAGAGGAAAAAAAAAACACTGCTTGATAGAGAGCATGTTACACTATATATAATGAAACCTTGTGTACCTTAATACGTTCGAAGCCTGCCTCGATCCTCAGCTGCTCCACCAACTTCCTGGCCTGGGCTATGTTATTAGTCGTCGACATTCTCTGCCATCGGTTATTGTGCCGAATAAAAGAAGAAAATTCTACAACAAAACGAAAATGCAGCAAGATTAAAACGGAAGCAGAATTTAAAGCATATATATATACAGTATTACGTATGGACAATGTATGTGATAAATGAGATAAAATGCTTCTTGAGGTGCTTTCAAACTCACTACATACTTTTAGAAGACATTAGCCCCTTTCACACATACAGTCTTTACTGGTAAATTACCGTTTAGAGATCCTGTATGAACAAGACCTTTTCAAAAATGCTGATAAATCAGTTGTGGCAATTTTATGGTAAGAGAAGTTGTATCATTTTGAATCTCACTGATTTTCAATATATGGACAAAAACAGTTGAAACAAATACAAGTTTGGAACAACATGAGGGCGAGTAAACGGAATTTTTCTTTTTGGGTGAACGATCCCTTTAAATTACAATCATGTCTGATAACTTGAGAAAGTCAGGCCTCCAGAATAGTTTAGCTATATAAATAATAATATACATGTAAATCAAGATATCGGTCTGACAGCTCCGACCACACAACTACCCAGCAACATCAGTCCAGACCACCCAGTTCAGGGGACCCATCAATCAGACTAACGGTACAACTGAAAACAGGTGCATCTGTCCTCTGAGGCTAAACACAGTGCATTATCTTCTCCCTTCTTGTTTTAGGACCAAGTGCTCTTACAAACAAAATGTGTGGGGACAGATAGGCACGCACCTATAAAATAAAAAGGAGTAACAAAATAAAACTGAGAACATTTCCATCATGATATGAAGAATGTTTTTCAATGGGGTCCAAAACACTGGATCCCACTAACTTTCATTGTATGGATGGAAAAAAAAAATTAAGTTGAGAAAATTTGAGTTGAGAAAATTTAAGTTCATATTAAATTTTTCAAAATACAATCTTTTGTGTTCCACAGAAAAATAAAAGTCATACTGGTTTTCATAGCATAAACCGTTTTGACTGTGCTCATGTCAGGAGATTTGCTCAACACAAGCCTTTCATGCAGCCACATCCTCCAAAAGGTCATTTTAAGAACCACTTAGCAACACCGAGTAAATTTGAATATCGGCACACCCACAGAGAGGTGACTATCAAAGTAACCGCAGAAACACAGGAAACACTGGAGGCAGTGAAAGGTTTGGTTCTTTCTGGAGACAAACACACTCCTTGTACGCCCCCTCCCTTTGCTCCACACGCGTGCTCTCCCAAACCAGCGCAGCACCCCTGGCATTCCAGGACGTTCCTAGAAGGGGCCGTAGTTCTAAACACATGTTGCTTAGTGCCTGGGCTTTGTCTTCTCACAGCAAACACAGTCTCTTTCACGGCTCCGTGTGCTGCATTCCAGGAAATGGGCACAGCGGCCCTGCATTCATAATTGCAGCACTCTAGAATACATTGGCATATTCATTCAAACATACAGGTCTCTCTAGATGTCTCTCTGCACAGTTTTTTTCCAACCACATCTTCCTCTTTTAAAAAGTAAACCCTCACAGGAAAACTGCAAGATTTGGATAGAGCCATAGTGTGTACCAAGAAGGCTCCATGTAGGCTGCTGTGATTTAACCTAATCTACTGAAAAGTAGTAAGTTTTACATGCACAAAAGTGAGAAATGTAGCTTAAGTGTATTTGGGAATAAATTGGAATGTTGCAACTGAATTATTGGTAATTTGGCTGTTTTGCAACTACAAGTGTGCTTGAAAAAGTGAATCCACACAGATGCATTATACTTTCAGCTCTACAACAAACAGTCTACATTGCAACTGCACCAGTGCAGATTAAAACAAGGCGGCGCATTACATAAAGTAAGTTTACTTTTTCAGTTATTATCAAGTTACAGCAGGTTTTGTGCATTGTCCATGCACAGACTTCATCTCATCTGTGCAATCAAATATTTGAGGTAAGAAATGCATGTGCAAAGTAAAATCACATTATAAAGATGTTAGTTTGACTTCACATGTGACTACCCTTGTGAAAAAGAAGTGTTCTTAATTGTATTGTATGTGCACTTATTTGTGCACTTCAAATCTGCAAATATAGTTAAACATTTGTACTTGCAGAGAATCTACTATTAATGAAATAAAGGCCACTTAAGTGTAATTAAAGAGAGTTCACTTTCATGACTGTTTCTTAACTTCTAAAAGTGCAGTTTGCAAATTAAACTTTAGTTTAACTTTAGTTTTATTGCAATTAACATGCAATTAAGAATCTAAAAACAGTAGTAGTGCATTCTTTTAAAGCATATTATTTATTTAATACATACTCTTTTTAAAAGTATGCTAAAGTATACTTTTTCACAAGGGGTTGTGTGCTCACAGATGTGCATTTATCAACATTTTACAACACATTTACTCTACAAAAAGTAGGTTAAAAAATTAGAGAGGTTTAGACAGTATCACAAGGCACCACTGAGTGTGCTGAACTCCCTCTGGATCTTTATTTCCTCTTCAGAGTCAGTGAGGATTATTAACCTTTATCCATGACTTACATACTCCTCATTCTCTCTCTCTGAGCTGGAACCAGGCTCACGTGCAATCACACCCTGTGGTCTGCAGCGCCAAGGAGAGTCTCCAAAACAGGCATCTCTTTCTCCACTCTGTGGCATTCTGAACCAATGAGGAAGAGGAGGAGGAAGGGGGCACTGGAAAACTGCACCCCACCCTTGAGTCCCTGTGCGCTATTTTAAGCCACTTTGAGCAGTTACATATTCAACAATAATTACAATTTACCCAAAATATACAGCGAATAGACAAGGCTTTATTTGTTGACATAAACTAACTTTAATAAATGCTGCAAAACATGTTGTTCATTGTTCATGATACCTAATGCTTTAGCAAACTGAACTTAATGTGCTACCAGTAAATGCAACTAACAGACCATACAACAAAATCAAGCATGCTTCCCATGTTTTTTTTTTCTCCTTATGACCCATTTGGTATGTCTCTGAAGCATCTAAAAATCAAAAGACACTTGTAAATCCAGGATGTAGCATGTAAACAGTAGTCAAGTGAGAATGTGAAGTATGCATCATTCTGTTTGGACACAGTCTGCTCTGATACGTGTGGCTTTGCAGGCGGTAGTTCCCGCCAGCTTTCCAATCAAGCGCCAGTATTAAATCAAAAATCCCCTGCCTCTAACGGACACCTGGTGGCTCGCTTAGTAATCTCACCAGGCTCCAGATGCCTCCCTACATTCCCGCTCTTTGAGCTCTCGGCGGGAATACCGTATATTACTGCGGCGAGAGAGGAAGGAAAACAGAAAGAGCTCTGGCCATCAAGAAGACCTGATCAACGGCCCATTGAGCCTGGCCAGGAAAGATCATCTCATAAAATGACTTCCAATGAAATTTGAGTCTAGTGATTATTTAGGCCATTGGAATTTGTGCCTGCTCATTATAGAAGCTTGTGAAAATAATAGCTGCTTAATAGCTGCTTCATTATTCCTAATAGTTGTTTATGCTGTACTTAGACAGTTTAAGTTGTTATAACAATGCTTAAAATAGCTTGGTACAAAAAATGCAATCACATTCATGAGTAGCAGTAAACACTATGGCCATTCCTGAGTTTTAAAATTTGGGGTCGGTATAATGTTTTTGAATGAAGTTTCTTATGCTCACCAAGACTGCATTTACAGTAAAATCAGAAACATTGTGAAATATTATTACAATTTAAAATAACTGTGTTCTACTTTAAAATGTAATTTATTGTTGTGCTGGCAGAATTTTGAATTTTCAGCAGCTGTTACTCCAGTCTTCAGTGTCACACGATCCTTTAGAAATCAGTTTAATATGATGATTTTGTGCCCAAGAAACATTTCTTATTATTATCATGTTGAAAACTGTTGTGCAGCTTAATATTTTTGGGGAAACCGTGATACATTTTTACCTGATTCGCTGATGAATAGAAAGTTTAAAAAATAATTTATTTGAAATAGAAAATCTTTTGTACCATTATTAATATCCTTACTATCACTATTGATTAGTTTAATGCATCCTTGGTGAACACAAGTATTAATTAAAATAAAATCTTGCTAACCTCAAAACTGACCACTGAAACAGGAAGTTTGTGCAGAACTGGTCAAAGACTTTTCATTTGCCATTAATTAAAAAAAAAAAAATTCCAATAAGCTGCAGTTACATCATCCCTGAACCATAATTTACTACCAGCTAGTTGGTTGCACGGGGATGCAGCATTTGACTGGACAAGAATCTGTGTAGTACAGGATGAGTCATCAATTTTTGGGCAGTTTTACTAGAAGAAAAAGACTGTATTTTAGAAGCGAATACATGCTAAAAGTAAATTCTGTCAACGTTCAGGAGTACACTAGCGTCCTAAAAGCCAGCTAACCACCAATCAGTCAAAGTAGAAAGTAAATAGATTTGTAAATAGATACGTAAGAAAAAGCAGCAACGTCAAAACACTGCTCTTTTTGTCTTAGCATCGCATCCATTTTGACGCAGCAACATTGGCACAACCAGTAGCGTGAGTTTAAGGCATGACTGTCTTGTTTTTTAATCCAACTGCAGACAGAGAGTGTGCAAAACATTCATTATTTTTCTAATTCATGGTAATTCATGAGTTCATTATAAGTTCACAGTTGCAATGCTGCACCACTGTGACTCCAAATGATCAACATGACTACATACCCCACCCTTCCCTGTTCCTGACAGGCTCAGTCAGCTGCTGCAAAGCTTCTTACAAGAATCAGAAACTGAAAATACATACAAGCTTGATCAGCTGCACACCGAAATGCCAGAAGTGTTTTGCTCGGCTTACAGTACAGGACTTTCCAGCATAGCAGCACACTTGGAGGGGAGGGAAATGAGGGGCAAGGAAGCAAAACGAAAGGAAATTAATGGGATTTCTCATCTCCCAGCTGAGATCATGTGACGTGAGTGTTTGCTCACGTCAGCATGCATAAGCACAGAGGGGTCACAGAACGTTCGTGTGCTTGTGTCCGTGTGTGAGGGTGTGACCGGTGGGGGAAACAAACGGATGTGTAGAGACACTGAGACAGACAGACTCG